GATTCTTCGACCTCATTCAACTTTAGTAATATTCACTTCACTGTTAACGTGTACCGGTATATTTCATAGCATCTTTTGTTCTTGATTTAAACCTGAAACAATTTATTGTCTGATTCATGTGCCCAGCTTGCATTTGCTTTCACACGCTTGATACATTATATTTCAGTGCTAGAAAGATAACACTATAAATCACATCGAAACACAAATAATCAATCTTCCTGCAACTTGCTGAACTATATATAAAAAATGCAACCGCACCGTCTATTGAGTTCCTTTTGCCCACTGCTCCAAATATAAATTTATGACCTGAGCATATTTCCATACCTGTCTGCTGTCTCTACCAAAAGATTCTATCGAGTCAAGCCAAGTGTCTCATCGAAGCTTGTGCGACAATGTATAAGTAATGGTCGAATAAAATTGTCGTCGCCATTAACTAATAAACAAATGTATTTATTTGCATGAACTTGCGTCATTGCAGTAGCATGTGGCGTGTGTGCTGAAGAAAACGTCGCGAGATGGATTGATGTCTCATTGATGTAAATTCTTTATTTCCCATGAGCCGCTATATCGATTTCTCCTTAACAATTTTGAATACGCATTGTCGCCTTATATAACCCGAAAATAGAAAGTATAAAATTGAAGGTTGATTTGATATTTTTCACATAACAAACCTAAATATCCAAAACAATAGCTCCCACGAAATTTCAATTGGTTACAAAATGATAATGCGTTGTTTGGTTAGAAGCAATGCAAAATATTTCCGGGCTATATATATTTATATCAAACTTCGAACACTTCTTGCTATTCGTAATTTGATCATTCATCCAAGCCTCAAGGTGCATTCATTCATGCAGATGCAAATATTCTGGTCCTATAATCATCGGTTAATATTCCCCAGCAAAACTTACATTATTTATCAAAAACTGACTTGCTTGGCATAAGGTTTTCCTACCTTCCAGCAACTTTTAAACTTGACCCACTGCTCTAACCTAAGCAACTTGTTTTTTCTTTTTATATTTTAACATCGTTCAGTTCCCTTTGCCTAAACTGCATGCCTGCTCAACAAACTCGTTTATCATCCCACTCGCCTTACCTAAAACTGTCGTTCTAATGTGCATTCTTGTCATCATGAATATTTTCACACCAAGCGATGCAGAAGCAAACGTACTTGACGTTTGGTAACTGCACAAAATGGTGATTCTTCCTTAACGACATTGGGTACCAGAGGTCAGTTACTCAGTATTGATTTTAAGTCGCCAGGTCAGAATAATTAATCGTTGGTCTATATATACGATTACAGCGTACCCGGAGTTCGTTCTTTCAAACTATAAGTATAAAAACATACATATGTTTCTGCATCTGGTCGACTAAATATATTTATCAAATCGTATAAGATTCAGTTATACTGACGATCTAAAATACGACAGTTCCTGAAATTAATTTTTTTTTTGTATGCATTTACAGTATATATACTAACTGTAGGTAATCTTCAAATGTCTGTATGTTTATTGACGGTAGCCAACTTAAGAATTTCTGATCTACTTGAAGCCTACGAAGAATGTCTTTCACAAAAAATGAATGAGGATGCTGTCGTTAATGTCATACTTGAATTTCAACCAACAGAAAGGTGATCTGAAAATCGATAACAAACATGGCTAATAAAGTAAAATGTGCTAACTGTAAGGTCAAAGACACAACACAGTCAATATATTGATTTAGTGAACAAAAATACGTTTTGAAAACCTCATGATCCAACTTTTGACAAAGCTTTTTAACTGCACTCTGGCCACTATTCTTCTCTAATAGAAACAAATTTGTCAATGTTAATAATGGCATCACAATTGACAAGCTTTTCTCATTTTTTTTACTTTAAAACCAGCCTAACTTGTCCAGTTTTGACTACCACTCTCAATTTTATATTTACGAAGAATTTGTGTGAATCTTGGCTGCATGAGAGCAATCGGCATCATTACAAACACCTTTATAAACAAGATCTATATGTAATATATACATAAAAAAAATATAGGCGGTAACTATGATTAAAATTTCCCAGACATAAATGCCACATTTGCTTAATTTTGAATATAGGATTTGTTTCTGACTCATTCTGTAAATAGCAAGGCGGTGTCCCCGTTCTACGACTCAACTCCGGTATAGACTCGAAGGCAAGATAAAGTCCAAAACTAATTATTACTATTATCAAATTATTCCAGTTTGCAATTCGATTTATTTTATTAGTACAATTTGGCTGACAATAAGTGAATCTCGGTCTCACCTCATAAACGGAAAATTTAATTTGTTCCACATTAGATGATTGAAAACTGAATTGTTTAAATGGCTGCGAAATGCAATCACAGTTTATATTGCGCTTGGTAAAGTTAATATTTCATAGATTTTCATTAGTGGGGGAAATAAAAATGATGTATGTTTGTTGTTACTCGTCACGAATCTTTCGATTCCTGTTTAAGGATGAACTAGAGTTTGAAATGTGTCAAAAAGTCAGACGCACATAACTTAGGCTCAGTTATAACAATTTTTTATATTAGTTACTCATTTATTTAATAAACATTTCTATCAAATCATTAAAATCACCCAATTTGAATACTAATAAATTATTGATGTTGATTTTTGGTGGTGGTACTGTATCACGATTTTTATTATCGTATTATTAGTGAAGAGAGCCGCGTGAATTTGTGACTATTGTGTGAACCGGTATCAGCTTCCTTTCGCATAGGTGCAACAGCGCCATCTGCTGTTACCGTATTGGGGGCATGTGTATCGCGAGACGATGCTAGTGCAACATACGCAGCTTTTTTGGCACTAAGAGAAAACAAAATAATACATTGTATCTTCCTAGTTTACTCGTTAATTCACATTCCTTTAATCAACTATAATATTGAGATTAAAGCTTGTCGTTCTGTTGATAGAAGAATTGCTAATTTCTCTATAATTTAATTTAAGGAAAGAGACAAGTAGATGCTTTCGAAGTCTCTTCACGAACTTACTTTAGTGAAATGACAGATTTCAGCTGAGCAGCGTATGATTTGGCGTAATTAAATCACTAAAGTATTTGGATAACTTCAATTCATTCAAACAAACATTACAGTCTGTATAGAGGAGCGGTAAGGATTAATGTCGATATGGTTTTAAAAAAGACTTTGTTACGGAAATAACAAATTAACCAGAACTAAGTAAAATTTGAAGTTTAAATTCTTCAAATATTGGGATGATTGTGTTACCTATGGACATTTCCCCGACCTTTGACCTCCGAAAAATTCTTCCTATACCTTACCATTGCAAAATTTTCGGGGCTTATTTTAGGAGTGGTTTCGCGAGTTGGCCCCTGTAAAACGGGGTATGTGTTTCAAACCATCATTATGATTCATCGCATACAACAATCTGTTTTTTAAAAATACCGGTAAAGAATTTCAGCCTAGTCTATCACAGCTATTTCTATACTAATTTTTTCTTACTGCAATTAAATTAAAACTCCTAGGGAGACAGAGTGATCATTGAATTATCTAATTTATATTTAAATTTCCGAAACACAACTGAAAACTAACGAATAGAGTTCAAAAACGCGAAAACGAGGTAATGTTTACGACCACGCCTGAAAATCTGTCTGAGTGAAAAAGTGTCTGAGCGGATGCGAAAAGGTAGCATTGTTACGTCACTCTTTGAATCTTGCTGATTGGCCAATGTCACGAAGTAAACAAGGAAGTCGATGCTCGGGGAAAGGTCCATTGTACAAGAGTTATGGTCAATTGGCATATTTTAAGTGTCAGATATAGTAGCATTGAAATAAATTAATGAATAACTGTAAATGTTGAGATGGAAAACAGCTCCAATGAGAAATATATATAGTGACTCGAAAAACACTCTAAGAAGAGTCAACTGACGTATTCGATTTGAGGACATCGTAGTCACTCATTATAAAGAATACGTGTATTTAAATACAACAATTATGAATGTTTTAAAGACGAGTCGTTAAAAATATACAAACCAATAATTGTAATCCACTGTCAGCGTTAATTGAAACCCGTTCATTCGTTTTTTAGCAATTTTCAACAAAAACTAATCAATGTTTTCCCAATATTCCGCTGGCGGACATGTCACTGTATAAATTGCATACCTCGGGCCCTCGATGATCGAATACTTTCCCCAATTGACGGGCCGAAACGTCGAAGGCTTAGAATGTAAGCGAGATCAAAAACACATATCCCCGGTACGACGAAAATGTTCCACGTATTCGTACAGAAATATCCCCAGACCGCAAAATCGATATACCTCACGCGACATAATTGTATTCAGCGACCCGTGCCAACTAACAGAACGCCAAGTTCAAGTGAAAATATGTGCCCAAATAAACAATACGAGTAAGTAGGAAGCGTGGGGAAAATTCTGCAACGCTCGAATACCTTACTTTTTTAAATTCAAAAAATTGTAATGAAACAAGGTATGGAAATTAGAACACAATAAGATGAATTCGGATGTACAAAGAAAGTTAAATTGTTACTAGTACTGGAGATATCACACCATTAAACTAGATATAAAACAGATATCCGAGAGAGTAGAACTCTGTTTTAGTGAAAAGTGATTTCCTTATCAAGTATTTTTGATATCGCTTGTGAATATGCAATCTCATGTTATGCTATTCTATCAATGGAATGGCTTCTGCCTTCACACTAAAAGATTTTCTTCAATATAAGTAAACTATGGTATGATTTTCAGACTATGATATGAGTTATATCCGATAAGAAAAGATAATGATATGCATGCCGCCACTTTATGTTTTATATCTTATTTATACCCACGAATTTTATGCTGTTAAAGACAGCAAGGAACTGCGTTCATGTTCCTAGCCAAATAACTGTAGACTATTAATGTTAAAATTAAAAGCCTGCCATGGGCAAAACCCCAGGGACAATATATCATGGTATAAGAAATGGAATTTTTATATTTTGTTTATAATTTGTGTATAAGTTGAAAATTATTCATACCTCGGGTTCGTCCATTTATCAGGTCTGTGATGTCATCTAGAAGTCTTGCAAGACCATCGCAAAGCGCTTCACGGAAATCTCGTCGCTTCTTTTTCTCTTTTATGATTGGGCTTTTTACCTGTTCCGTCTTCTGTCTTTTGTATATCATGCGATCCCGCATTCTTGATTTTTCACAGTCTTCCATGGTTATGTCTCCACTTGGTTTATCTTCCTTTGATACTAGCAATTCTGTAACTGAATTTCGAACCGAACTTTCTTCTAGAACCGGTTCCATTTCTTGTGCTTCCCAGTTAAAATCGTTGAGAGTTTGTGCTTTTGGAATCCCTTCCAGAGTAACTTCACTACTCCGTGACGTATCAGCATCAGCAAAGCGAAACGATTGGTCTTGGAATGGATGTGTTCCCTCCTTAAACTCAGTCATTGTTTTGGAACTTTATGCGGAGACAAATAATAATTTCTCTACTATATTTTTATAGACAGATTGTGCGTATTTCCGAACATCCATTTATTAAACACAAAACTGTGATGAAACACAAGTTGCAATTATGTATGAATAAAACAAATTTATTCAATTTATAGCATCAAGACGTCACTTATATATGACTATACTTGTTGGCATGAAAGCCTAGAACAGCTTGCTTTCCTTCATCTACTAACTTCACAAATTATTTTAAAACACTTCAATCATCAATTTACAGCAAAGTTAATTTTGAATTCATCAATTCTCCAAATGAAAACAAAAAATAAACGGTAATAGCGTTTTCGGGCTTACACTTTTCATTTTAAGTGAAACCTTATAAAATGTTAAATTTCAAGTTATTTTCAAGTTCTTAGTGAAGGTGGCAGGCCCATAAATATTATTTATATTATCTAAATAGTTGAATGTATATAACTATTCAGTATTTCTGAGTAAACTACTCCGAAATATACTTTGGAAACATAACTGGCAAACTGGACGCACTTTAGAATATCCAAACTTCCAGATTCAACATAGACTGTACTATATTATTTATGCGGTAGTGTACATTGTTTGAAAAGTACCCGGAACTAATTATAACTCGAACTTTAGCTCTCTGTGGATAGACGCTACTAAAATTACCACTTTTTCATCAAATATATAAATATTCAGTCATCGTGAATTGCAGGCAATGATCAGTAAAATCACCGACTTTATGTATGCAAATAATATGGCAAACGCAAAACCGACTTTACGACAGAAACAAAGGACGTGCTGACAAGTTAAAGGAGACGCCATACATTTTTGTCATCACGTGAACAAAAACATACCACAATCGTGAACTTAAAGTAATACAGAAGCAATTTGCAACATTCTCAGTCGACAGGTAAACACCACTCATACGTGACACTTTAAATGCTACGTGCATCCATACAAACAAAAATATTTTTTCAAATTTACTCAGCCGAACTGACGAAAGTATGAGTTTTCTTGCATTGCTGTTACTTAAGGACAGTTTGTTGACAAATATATCATGATTTGGACCAGATGTTCACTTTCGCGTACTCACAATATCTAGGAATAATCGAAACTCTAATATGTATGGGTTCACAGAAAAAAATCGTTTGGAATCTGCAAAAGGCACTCCTTAATTTTTTTTTCTATTTCATTTGATCACGCTAGTTGTAGCTATTGAATACGTTCTCTTTACCCGGGCGAGTAATGAATTAGGTAACAAGTAAAATGCCCAAATATGATCGTACACTACTTTAGCCAGACTCTTTAAAATGGGCCTGCAGTCTTTGGCCTATCTCTAGAGATGTACTTGTTTTGTTCCCACCCAACTTTACAAGCCATGCCCTCGACAGTGACAGTCCGATTGTCGAAATTATATCGGTACTTTAGCCTCTAATCCTATTTACGCCAACTCAACCAGAACTGTTTTTTTTTCTGACATTTACAGCAAACCAAGCATATGTCGGATACTTTATTATCTGTGACTATACATAACATTTGAACCAGATAATAGCCTTTGTTGAACTGCTGGTTAACGGTACAATACTGCTACTACGAATAAAATCAATATATAGTCTTGTTTGTCTACATCGGGATCTCTTTCAAGCTGGCTAAAAATCAAGTCAGTTTATTTTTATTTCAGTAGATTCCTAAATTCGGAATTAATTAAGTGTTTTGTTTACTGTCACAAAGTCTATAATCAATGAAAGCCCATCTAAAGTTTCCTAGATATGATTAGATGGTTTTTCATTTCCTTGCAAGTTACATTCTTATGTAGCATGTAACGAGTACGCCGAATAATATTTTATAAAGTAGAATCGTATTTTATAAAGTAAAGGCTTATGCGCTTATCTCCAGTGTATATTTGTATATTTTTAACAATATCATATATAAGAACAAAAATATGGAATTCCTAATCTGAACATTAAAATTGTTCTCAAATTGTTCGCTCAATTCAAGTCGGTACAACAAACACCTCACTGAAGTTAATAAATTTTGGAAATAAAATCTTTGCACTAAATCCACCTATTGTCCTACCTTTCTATCTATATATACAATTCATATAAATCACTCATAATATCTCTGAACCCCACTTTGAGTAGTTAACCCACTTACTCTTATCCCATAATCGCTGACTAAGGTGGATTAGGCTTTTAACATGGCACAAACGACAGCCTGCGCACTCAACCAAAACGATTATTATTATAAATATAGATAGTCAAGATCCAGTTACAAAACATAGCAATATTTTTTCTCAAGTGCCATATTATTTGCTAAACGCCATGTTGTGAGCCATCATACTCAATTAGCCAACATGACAGCTCAGAAAATGTATTCGTGAAATAACACATCCCTAATGAAACAAGTGGGAAATGAAGCACGATTTTCAATTTTCATTTTGTGTAATTAAAATTTTAGGGCGATGTAATATTCAGAGATAGGGTACACAATGATTTCTGTAAAATTTTCTTGATGTTAGTATAGGCCAAATCAAAAATAATAATATAGACCCAAAATTTGATACCCATAACTTGAAGTTTTATTTTATCATTTCCATATAAGTTAATGTACGAAAAGCAGGAGTGCCTATCGTCAGTCATGGCTTCCAATTGGTTCGCTCATTAGTCAAAATTTAATATTTATACAATATTTCAACAAAGTTGACTAACTAGAATCCCTTCAAATGGATTTTTCTTCTCTCTCAAGATTTTATTAAATGCATATATCGATTTTTGTCGTTTTCCTACATAATAAGCATGTTTTTATACCTCGTCGTTGCAACTTTATAATAACTAACTAACTTGTTCTTCAAGTCGCGCGAAATTTTATTCGGACAAAATTCCTTCCTATACATATTAACAAAATGTAGAAAACACAAATTCCCTGGAGATTTTTGACATCGGTTTATACTTTTTTACTATATATTATAAAAAATGTGAAAATCAGGGTTGGTCATTGATGGTGCAATTGGTATAAGTGGTTCTATATTAAACTCTTGATTACTTGATAAAATAATAAAGTAGGATGTCGAAACTTATGATATTGATATGTATACATAATACTTGCTTTTCAAATCATATACCACAATACACGACACGTTTACTCAACGTTTTCACATATGTAAGCTATATAGGTATCAAGAGTGAATACTTAATAAAAGCATCTATTTACTATATGAACTATACAACAGCTTTGTCCTGCATATCGTCACGCTAATAACCGAATTGCGTAAGTCATTTTTAGCAGTTTTAAGAAAAACGTAAAAAACTTCCTAATGATATTGTTATGCCATTGAGAGTTAATAATTTGCCATGGTTCAAATTTTTGATCGTGGCCGAATTTAAGTTAATTTGTATGACGCAGTTAGGTGACGTCATAATGGCGCACTGTGACTTAGGCAGAAATGTGGTTATGACTTTGGGACATACGCAATTTGTCAACCTCACTATATGAACCAGTCCTGGAAACTAAACATTCCAAAAACGAATGTAATTCTCAGTATCTACAATGTCTAATCTCCAAAATAGCTAATCAGTTTCAAGTACATTATTTTTTTATGTGTGAAAATATATATTTCATCAATATAACACTTTCTGCACGCCCTCCGAAATAAGACTAAGATTAAATATAAAGAATAAAACAGCAATGCACCCAATATAAAAACCAGCCAAGGTGAATTGGACTCGGACAGCGAATATCACAAGTGCACGTCTTCCTATACTGTAGTATAAATTCAAATTAATACGCGCTAAGCTAGAATCCAAGATGAAAAAACTCGAAAATACTTCGCCGAGGTTATTTTACCTTTGTGACGTCACAATAGTTCTGCGATAACAATGCTAATTCATTATGACGAAACAATTGCACAAATGTGCATGTCATACTAAATCTCCATTTTTATGGGTTTCGGAATTCTTAAAATAAAATCTGAGTTAACAGACAGGTGCGCAGCATTACATAAATACCTATTTTATAAAAAAACTCAAAATCGTCAAAAATGACTTACGCAATTCGGTTATTAGCGTGACGATATGTTCAAACAGAATCACTAAAATGTTTGCACAAATACGAATTTGCTACGCGACCATTAAAATATTTCCTTTCTTTCCTTTCGCAGTATAATATATCGGCACTAAAGGTCTCCGCTTTTAATATAGCTCCAATAATTTTTAAAACAACGCCAAATTTTAATTTTGTGTATAATCGCTTCGCTTCACTCTGCTGCAAATAGGTCTCAACAAATTTCGTACTTTTCCCTAATATTTCGAGATAACATAAGAAACAAATATAAGAGCGTAATCAACTTATTTTAATGTTATAATTATACTACTTGAAAACTAGATATCATTTTTTAGCGTTTATTTTCACACACACTTCAGAATATGCAATACTTTGGAGAGTCTAAAAAGCTTTTTTCATCATTGAATCCAAATCTTCCACACAAATTCAGCCGAATAATAAGCAATATGTCAAATGATCATATCTACAATACGTGTGTCGTTTCTTAGCATAACATCCTCGCGAATGAATCGTTAACGCAGTGGCTTAATGGATACGTTGGAGTATGGTATTTATATCTTTCATCACTGTCATGACTTTCTCAAGGAGAATAGACGATAGAGTTCTGAATAGTAAAAACATCTACCTTTAAAACTTTTTTTTTTAATATTTATCGCTTCCTTTCAAAAACTTTAACCTGAAATATCAGTTGCACAACGTCGCGTGGGGTACACTTAACATATTTAATTTTCTTATCTTCAATGAGTTTTTTTTCATCAATGTATTGATAGTGAGCTTCATTCAAACAGTGCATGAAATATCGAGTAAACTGATATTTAATAGCGGAATATGTCGCAATAGTAAATCTATATATAGTTTCTAGTAGACGAATGCAATTCTTCCATCAGTGATCTTTCCGCTTGAGCTAACGGCTCGTGAGCTAAATCTGAGCACTCCAACGCCAAGCATAGAATATGCGTTTTAAGAAAACTTGTAAGAATTTCCTTCGAATTTTACAATAATTTTGACGTTGAAATCGCACAAT